CGCAGGTTAATGGTGAGTGAGCACATGCAGCAGCCACTGTTACCTGTCTGAAACTCATTTAATTTTATTGCAGACAACTCGCTGTATTTTCAATATGCCGCCGAGGCCAAGAGCAGCTCCGGCTCCAGCCAATCCACCACGACGGGCAACAGCGGACGCACCGATTCCTCGGACAGTGATTTCGAAGAGCGCTCCTCGCGCTTCGGTTCGCCACGCACGCCACGAAAGCGTCGCGTTCGCGCCAAGCGACGTACGCAGAACGGCGACCGTGCGGCTAGCGGAAGTGGGAGCAACACGCTCGATCCCGACAGCCTCGATGAGCTGGCCTATGTGGATACGCTGCCCGAGGTAAGGGTGAAGACACGGCTAGGCAGCTGACCCCTTGGCATGCGTTAATCTTTGTCCACCTTCCTTTTCTCTCCAAGCAGGAAGTCAAGCTGGTGGAGGTGACCTCCAATATTTGGGGCACCAAATTCAAGATCCACGGACTTGCCAAAACCGTCCCAGCCAATTTAGGCCAAGTAACATATAAGACGTCCCTACTGCATTTGCAGCCGCGTCAAATGACGCTGGTCATCACGGAGCTGCGCGACGATTTTCCAACTGGACCCGATCCCAGCTTCAATCCCAATCTCTTCTCCGAGGACGAGGAGGAGCATCACAGTTACAATCATAATCATAATCATAGCACGGATGCCGCAGTGCCTCATGTGAGCGTGACAAGCGCTGCTCCGGACGCAGCATCAGCAGCAGCGGCAACAATAGCTGCATTGAAGCCGCCAATTATGCCACAGCGACGCCTCAACGATGGCGCCTCGGCGCCGCCCATAGCGCCCATGTCGCCACGCCCCAATCGTATATTGGCGCGTCATAAGAATTCGCACGGCTTAACAGTCAACGGGTCCGGAGCCGGTGGTGCAGTGGGCCTGAGTCCGTTGGCGCGTGCCGAAAGCTACGACGACGACTCATCCAATGAGTCGCAGGAGGCAGCAGCAGCCGCTGCCACTGCCACTGCCACCACCGTGCTGCTGCATCAGGCGCCTGCCAGTTGCAGCTCCGCCTCGCCGGCGCCCAGCTGCAGCAAAAACATAACGCGTCCAAAGACTATAAGCAGCTTCAAGAACAGCTACAGTCGCTCCAGCTCGAATTCCAGCTGCCAGTCGCGGCATGCCATATCGCCGCTCTACTGCGACGGCTCGGTGCCGACGCTGCAATCGCCCAAGAATGCTGTGGCCCCATCGGACATCATATTCGAGCGGCCAGCTGTGCCCGCGGCTGGCCAAACCACCTTGATGTCCTACTCGAGCAATGCGGACTATGCCAACAACGTGGTTCAGGTGAAGAACGCTCTCATGTCGGAGTCCATGCGCACGGCCAACAGTCACGTGAATCCGGTGCCCCTTAATCTGAACTTGAATTTGGAGCGCATGGATGCACGTGCTGTCAAGTGCTCCACAACGAAGCGGCGTGACATGCTCTACATAGACGAGGAGACTCAGTCGCCCACGCCCACAACCACCGCCAACACCTCTACAGCAGCGGCAGCAGCAGCAGCAGCCAGCACAAGCATGAAACGCACTCCAACTGTGGTGTCCATAGCACCGGCGCTGCCCGACTCCATAACGCGCAGCTGCAGCGTTGGCTATCTGGATTCGGTGGCCATAACGCCCTCGGATGAGGCTTTATCTGCGCTGCGCAAGGATGCGCCCAACAAGCGTCTGATTCTGGTCGACAAACGGCGCAATCGCCATCGCAAGCGACAGCAGCAGCAGGCGGATGCACGCCGGCACAAGCTGCAGCAGACGGGCAAGTCGAAAAGTTTGGACTCCTGTGATCTGCTCTCGCTGCAAACGAAACTCTCCAGCAAGGAGCACGAGCAGGTGGTGCGCAAGCTGCAGGAGATCTCCGACAGCAGCGCCTGCAGCAGCGCAGCCAACACGCTCTGCTTCAAGTGTCGCAACAACATGAATCCCGCCAGCGTTTGTAAGCGTTGTCAGCCAACGGTTAACCCAGCGCTGGACGAGATTACCACAGTGGCTGTAGAGCCCGCCAAGGAGCCAACAGCTGCTGCTGCTGCTGCTGCTGCCACGCCGGCAGCCACTGCAGCCGCGCCGGCCAAACCACCTCCCAAAAAACGCTTTGATGTCATCACCAGCTTCACGGACAGCCCGCTCTTTACGCGCAAGCATCGCTTCGGCTATGGACGCAGCAAGGATCTGGCAACGGGCAGCAGCACAGAGAACTCCACGCCTTTGCTCGCTCGCAAGCAGGAGAACAGTTTCAGCTTTGTCAAGCAGCTGTCCGAGGTGCGTTGGCGGCGCAAGGAGGCGCCCGCCAGCCAGCAGCAGCAGCAGCAGCAACAGAATCAGCAGCAAAGCTCCAGCAATGCCAGCACACTGGAGCGACAGCAATCCGAAACGGGCAGCATAGCCTGTGGCACTGTCGAGGCGACGCCCGTGGAGGCCAAGGCGTCGGTGTCGCTGCATACGCAGGTGAGCACTGGGCGTGGCACTTACCACCTTAGACAGAATCAAGTGATTAACTGTTTTCCATTACAGGCTTTGACCACACTGGAGAACATCATCAGTCGTCTGCGGGATCTGGATGAGGGTCGATTGACGCCGCCATCGACGCCGCAGCGCTTGCCGCGCAGCTCGCCCGCTTCGCCGGCGTCCAGCAAGAAGAACAAGCGACAGCAGAGCAATTCGCCCATTCGGCACATACTTAACTCGCCGCTGCTGAATCGCAGACAGCGCAAGAAGCCGAGCATCATTGAGAGCTCCGACGACGAGGGCAACCAGACGAATGGCTCGGGCGAGGAAATGGGCGGCAGCACGGCCAATGGCAATGGCAATGGCAAGCAGTATCGCGATCTGGAAACATTCCAAAAGGCGCAGCTGCGTCAGAAGGTAGAGTCCAGGTTAAATGCTGCCCGGGCAAAAGATAATCGAGTTTCTCTACTCTCTTGTGCAGCTGAAGCGTGGCAAGATTGAGCCAAATGGCAGCGCCAGCTGTGCCAATCCAGCGCCTGTGCGGCGCGAGTTCGTGATGCACAACAAGGCGCCCATGTGGAACGAGATGAGCCAGGTGTATCAGCTGGACTTTGGCGGACGCGTCACCCAGGAGTCGGCCAAGAACTTTCAAATTGAGTTTCGTGGCAAGCAGGTATTTACTTTGGATTATCTATAACTGCATTAACTGACTGATTGAAGGACTAAACACAAACTGATTGACGAGCTCAATGATTGATTGATTGCTCATTTACATAAATTGAACTATTTGCAATTCTTATCAACCAACTAACTGGGGGATAGACAGAATACGTGATTGATTGACGGACTCAATTGACTAAGTGACTGATTGATGGACGAGGAAATATGCTGATTAATCAATCAGCATATTTGATTGATAAAGTATATTAATAAATAAAACCATTTTTGTGTGATACTCAACTGACTAAATGACTGATTGATTGACAGTATAAATTATTGATTGACAAACTCAATAATTAATTGAGCAATCGACTGATTGACAGGCTAAAAGACTGTTCGATTGATAGTCCATCAATGACTCATCTATAGATTGAAGATCTTTCTATTAATTCTTTGATTGATTGAGTGATTTGATAGTTGATCAATCAGATGATTGATGTGTGCATACAGTGAGTAGCTAATGGTCATTAGCTCAATTAATCAACGCTTTAACTTATACAATTTGATTATGCATAATAACATTAAATCGGCATCTCTTGCAGGTGATGCAATTTGGACGCATTGATGGCAATGCGTATACCCTGGACTTTCAATATCCGTTTTCGGCGCTGCAGGCGTTTGCCGTTGCGCTGGCCAATGTGACGCAGCGCCTCAAGTAATTGGATATTCCAACTGTTGTATTATCTTAATGCATTGCACACACATACACATATTTATATATATATACAACTATATAGTACTTATAGCACGCCGCCAGCTAATGCCGCAGCAACAGCCGCCGATTGCAATTGCTTTAATATGCATATTTTTTATACTATGAGCAGGTCGCGCCTAGGCTTTATCATTTGTAAATATGTATATGTACTTAATTGTATTGTGGTCTTTAGGTTTCTGAATGCCATACATATTCTTGTGTAATGTTATATCTGAACGGATATGATAAATGAACTCATACCACCATTTGATTGAAGGTTTAGCAATTTGATATTGGTGTGCAACAAAAAAGAAGAAGAAAACTCACAGTCCGATCCATTTTTTGTGCAATATTTGTATGACAAACTTTTTGGCTTAAGTATATATAAAAGAAAACCAAATGAAATGATTGATGATGTATATGTTAAGCATCAGTATCGATCTATGATCTATTTTTAAAAGTACGTGTACGAAAACGATTTTTCAGTCGAATTTTTTAAACTAGTTTGTACATGAGCCGCCTTTTTTGCATTGAGAGCTTCGTTTGTTTTCGTTATTTCCTTCTCGACTTAAGTGCAATAACAGCAATTCCTTTTGTTAACAATTCTTAGCATGTAAGGAAATATCATTAAAAACAAAAAACACATATATCAATATATATGTGTATACAGCAAATATCGCTTAAAAACAAAACCAAAAAAAACAAGATATCGCTTGGCCTAACATATAAAACAAATGAATGTGTGTACGAGTACTTAATACTAGCATATTTTTTATATATTACAAATTAATTGTGAATGTTAAAAGTATAAGCAAACAGAAAAACATAAACAACATTCTCTTACACACACAGAAGACAAGAAATTTTGTGCTTTTCCTCTTAAAACTCTTTTTTGTAGTTAGGCTTAATTTCAAGACAAATTCGTTATTGTAATTGTTGTGAATATTGAAATAAACTCAAAAACTCGAAACGTAAACGATTTCCAACGTGCAACTAATTAAATAAATTATATATATATATATATATATTATATGTGAATAAACAAACAACAGCAACACAAAAAAAGTAAAACAAAAAAATTACAATTTGTCTTATTTACATATAATACAAGAGATTGAATTGTGAACATTTATTCGCTTATGTTTTATGTCTTTTCCTTTTGTTGTTCTATTTCGATTTCAGCTTTCTCCCAATCGGGTATGGACTTCTCCTTAATGTGCCAGGCATTCGTTTTGGGACCTTTTGTTTCAGCTGCAGGAATAGAGAGCAGCTTTGATTAAAATAATTATTTATAATCTATATCAATTGCTTACAAGTCTTGAAACGTTTGACGCCCTCTTGCATGTCCGCCACCATGGCCGCAGAGACTTGCATTATCTCATTGTTGATGGCTGCATAGAAACCGGGTCGGGCGTAGACATTCGCATTATCCAATGTTGCATTTCGATCATGCAGCAGTGAGGCCATGGGAAACTTGGCTATGGAAAAGGCTAAGTTGACGGCCTGACCCAGTGCTGTACCTGTGGCCACAATTCGGTTGACCAGACCAATGCGCAGCGCTTCATTTGCGTATACTCGCCGACCCGTCTCTATAATATCCACAGCATTCGAGTAACCAACTGCAGCTGCCAGACGCACAGTGCCGCCATCGCTGAGCGGCACACCCAAGCGACGATTGAAAAAGCCTACGACGGCGGTATCTTCCATGACGCGCAGGTCACAGAGCAGTGCTAATTCGAGGCCGCTGGCCACACAAAAGCCGCTGATGCCGCATATAATGGGTTTTCGTAGGTGCCGCCTGGTCGGACCCACCGAACCCTCACGACGCAACAGAAAGTCGAGACTGCCGCGTTGCGCCTCCGCCTCCAGCTCTTTCAGATCATAGCCAGCTGAGAAAGATCCACCCACGCCGTACAGCACGCCCACAGGTGACGTATCGTCCGCCTCAAATTGATGAATGGCTTGGCTTAGCTGCGCTGCGGTGGCTGCATCAATAGAATTGCGCTGCTGCTCCCTATTGATTCCGATTAATGTGATGTTGGCATCTTTTTCGACCAGTATGCTGGGTGCTTTACTGTCTGTAGTATCCGCATAATGTACTGCACTCAAAGAAAATTTCTGTGCGCTATTGCATAAGTCCTTACAGGTCCTAAATCGACTGAACGTAAACAATTTATGCATTACAGCCAACATAACAAGTCTCTTAGTGCTGTGCAGCGTTAAAATCGACGTTTTCATTGGCGCGCATTTCAACACTACTTGTCAGAGCGACAGCGACGCTGTCAAAAGAAGGCGTGTATGTGTGCACGAGTGTGCGTGTGTTGGTGTTGGTGTAAAACAAAAAGCGGATTAAAAGAAAATACAAACGCTGCGCTGCCAATTAAATATTTATTTATTTATATATAAAAATAATCAGAAAATAGTGTTAAAGTTAGATTAATCGTTGGCGTGTGTGTATGCAAACGCATTGCATGGGTGTGAATGCGTGTGCTGCATACAAATACAAAATACAAGTGATATAAGCAAAGTACAAAAGAGCTCGATTACAATACGCGACTCCAATCTGCAGCCGCAGACAAAGGATAGTTAAGAAACGGTATTAACCTGGTTATATATACACATATATACATATACACACATATAGATGTAAGCATGTGTGTCATAAACTGCACGCAAAATGTGAACGTGCGGCAGCTGCTGGCTGTTGCCAGCAGCCTGCGGTTGCGGTGCCTGCTGAGAGCAAAACAACAACAGAGCGAAAGTGACGAATGTCCAGTGCTGCAGCAGCGCTCGACCATAACAATAAGAAACATATAGAAGTAGAGTGGAAATAAGATAGAGGAAGAGAGAGATAGCGCCTGCTGCCCTGCCCAGCACTTGCATTGCATGTGATGTATCCGCAGCTTTTTAAATGCAACTGTAATTGAATTGGCATTACAAATTACGGTTAATATCCAGCCTGTCTGTGTCTGTGTCTGTGTTGGGGTCGCAAGCGCTGCCACCGCCTGCATTATTAGTGCTTAATTGTGTCTATTTTTAACAATGTGCGTCCGCCCAACATTTGGGCGCATTCTCTGTCTGCTGGCAGGCCTATGCCCCTTCAGCCCGTTGCGTCGCCGCTTCAGCTACGCCGCTCCATTGGCGCCCCCGAGGGCTCTTGCCGTCGACACTATTGCCATTTTGCTAGCTTATATGCATGCGTGTGTGTGTGTTTGTGCGCGTGTGTCTGTGCCAGAAAGAGTGAGAGTGAGGAAGAGCAAGAGGGTATTTGAATTTTCTGATGAAATATGTAACGTAATGAAGTGGGCATCCCTAAGAGTACAAATGCATTATGCAAATTTATGAATAATTTATCTATGTGTTTACACTTTGAGCTTATCAATTGAATTAATTTTTAATAATATCAACAGTAACAAAGCATATAATTGGCATCACTTCCAATATACAAATATATGTATGTTCTTTATTGTCTGATGTATAAATAGTGCCTCTAACTTTATGGCCACCACTGTATGTGCCGTCACCAGAGCCCATGTCTAAACCACAAAAGACTTTCTCTAAGCATATATCCAATAAGCTAGGGTATTTGTATGTTAGTGTTGCTTAATTTCTTGTATTATTATTTGACTATGTGTGCTGTTGTCTTTAACCGCATCATGATCTATTTTCGTAAAATTTATTTGCAAAAAAGTAAAACGAAGTCTCAAAGCGTATATAAAAAACTTTCGTTTTATTATGTTTTACGGCTGGGACACACCTTTTGATGGGCAGCCTTTGATCATATATATAGATATATACACATGCATATATATATACACTAATAGTAATTATATTGTGTGTGTGCAGATATATATATATATATCTACATATGCATATCTTGCGCCGCCAGATAAGAGAGTTGGGTATAGAGTTTATTGCTTCAAGTACAGCTTAATTAATTGAATTAAATGCGCACGCATTCATTCAAAACGAGATATTCTTACGAGACAAAACGAATACACTCACATTCTTATTTCGCTCATTCAGCAAATACAGTCACGACTCGACGATGTCAACCGGAAGACCCATAAAATGTGTTGTCGTTGGTGACGGAACCGTCGGAAAGACTTGCATGCTAATCTCCTACACAACAGACAGTTTTCCCGGTGAATATGTGCCTACAGTGTAAGTTTTTCCGCCACAACTCCAAACTAAATGATCTTTGTTAACTTGAATCGAAATCTCTCGTATAGCTTCGATAACTACTCTGCACCCATGCAAGTAGATACAATACAAGTGTCGCTGGGTCTCTGGGATACAGCCGGTCAGGAGGATTACGATCGTTTGCGACCGCTCTCCTATCCACAGACAGATGTATTTCTGATATGCTACAGCGTTGCGAGTCCCTCATCGTTTGAAAATGTCACCTCCAAATGGTATCCGGAGATCAAACATCATTGTCCCGATGCGCCCATCATATTAGTGGGTAAGTAGTTATCTACTTTATAAGCTTTACTCTTCTGTTATAAATTGCCCTTAAATTTTTGCGCAGGCACAAAAATCGATTTGCGTGACGATCGCGAAACATTGAGTGGCCTGGCCGAGCAGGGTTTGACGCCGCTTAAGCGCGAACAAGGCCAGAAGCTGGCAAATAAAATACGCGCTGTTAAATATATGGAATGCTCCGCCTTAACGCAGCGCGGCCTCAAGCAGGTAAGTGCGGACACACCTTAGCAGCAAATGTCATCGAATGATGATGATGACAATTTCCATTTACCTAGGTGTTCGAAGAGGCGGTGCGTGCGGTGCTGAGGCCAGAGCCATTAAAGCGACGCCAGCGAAAGTGTTTAGTTATGTAAATAAGCAACGAGGAATACTCAGAAGAGCAGAGTAAACAGAGAGTCGGAGAATAACAAAGTGAAGCGACCCTCATCTCTAACTAAGCGTGAACAAATCAACAATCAGCTGACAAACAAGAAAGAAAAAGAAACTTGATTCATTGAGCATTATCATTTCCTTTAACATAAACAAATAATTTTGATTTGGTATAAGTTGAAAATTTAATTTACATCATCCATTTGAAAACCGCATGGCACAAACAAGAAAAAGAAGAACAAGAAATCCCTCCTCATTAGAACTAAAGTGTAACAAGATGAAAGCAGCAGTTAAACCATATATAATCCATATTGAAATCTAGTCAATTGAATCGAATCGAATGTATTAATTGTAAACAACAACAGCAGCGGCAGAAAAATATAAAGAATTGAACTAAACATAAACATAAGAAACTTCTGTTTCGCATATCAGAGAATATTTAAGGAATTCCTAATTTGTTTGTTTATTATGAAGTGTATTATAATTATAATGTAGCCCGGGCGTTTCCTAGTTTTCAACAATAACCAAAATACTTGACGATGAGCTCTTAGAGAAAAAATATTTAAATGAAACGAAAATGAAAAAAACACGTTTATACGATATTTTAGCTTGAAAACAAAAAGCATTTTTTCTACTATTTGTAATAATCTAATTAATTGATGCTCTTTTGAAACTTGTAACAACTGTTGTTTATTTTATTTTATAATAACTTATTTATTGTCCCTAACTTTAATAATGCAATGTAAAAAAAACATAAAAAACAAAAACAAAAAGTATAGCGAAAAAGTGTAAATGGAAAGGCAAAAACTGCATTTAAATGTGACTTGACTCGAATCAAAAAACAAAACAAAACAAAGCACACAATTTTTGTAAACAACTCGAATAGCAAAGGACGAGCAACAATTTTTTATAACAATTATATAAATATATATATTAAAGAGAAACAAACTAACGAGAACTCATGTAAATTTAAAGCAAAGATCAATCTACTTACGAGAAATCGTTACATATAATATATATATATAGTATATATATATACAAAATGCTGTAATTATAATAAAATCAGAAAAAAACTGTTGGATTTTGTGTGCTCAACCATTGCATAGTTATTAAATATTTCATTTATTTATTTAAATGCCACGTTTCTATCGATTTGTAAACAATTAACAAATTTGTAAGTTTTTTCTTTGTGCCGTTAACAATTGCACACATATATATATATATATGTTATGTAGAGGAGATCTCTCTGGGTGCAGCATGTGTAGTTGGTGGTGGTTGTGATGTGCCTCAATATAAACGGAAGGGCTTTGGATGAACCGCCTGGCCGGGCTTCTTTTTGGCGCCCGCGCTCTTGGGACGCTTCGGCTCCGAGTTGAGCGATGGCATCGATACGGATAGCACGAGACACTCCGCTGGCAAGGACATGGATGAGGTTAAAGTTGTAGCACGCTGTATGCGCGGCGCTTTCCAATACTGTATGAGAAGAGTTGCACGTTATTAGAGTGTTGCAAAATGCGATCAGTTAATGCTAACGTTAATTGAAACAAGAAAATAACTAAAATAGAAACTTACAATTTACTTTGTTTAGTTTCAAATCAATTTGTTCGGTTTTTTCTCACTTTTGTTTACCAATGCGATCCAAATGTGGTTTGATAGGTGCGTCGTGTGTGTCTGTGTAGCATTTGATACGCTTGCGGCGTAGGCGTGGGCGTGGTCGTTGCATTGCTTACATACGTATATAGCTATATATAAATCCAAATTATCTGCCAGAATTGAGAGATACTAAGTGCAAACAAAACGCCAAGTTTTTTCAGATATATGTATTTTTTTTTTTGCTTTTTTTAAATGAAAAAGTTTTGTTTTTTATTACGCTTGAAATTTGCATTTTTTTTTTACATTTTTCGTAAAACTGGGAAGTGTAAATAAATTGTGAGAATGATGCATTTTTGACTAATTATTAAGGTTACAAATTATAAAATATATATATATTTTATTTAATATGAAGTTAAAGTATTGAAAATCAATTTCAATGTTTTTTTTATTATTATTGTTTTTGTTTTCAACACGTTTAACTACACGTAAAGCACACAGTTAATAATCGTATATATAGATATATGCAGATATCTGTCTATATATATTGTGTGTTTGTTCTTGTAGTATATGAAATATATATATATATATATTTTTTGTTTTTATATAGTTTATGCATTTGCCTTGGTATCTAAATTGATAAATAGTGCATAGATCAACTAATCATATACTTTATCTGCTTCTTGTTCATTTTAATATGCTGCAACTGAGTGTGTGTATGTGTGTGTGTTTGCACAATTGTTTTTTATCAAATTTCATAGTAAATTCTCGTATTGTGTATTAATTATTGCATATTTTTCATATATTTGATTTTTTTGTGTAACTTTTTGCTTAAAATTAAATTTTTTCAAAGTATTTTTTGTTTGCATAGTTTTTTTCAATTTAGCTTTAAACGAAAGTAAAATTTTAGCTCAACATGCATTTTTTTTGTATTTTGTTGGACAGGATTTAACTTTGTTGATTTAAATTTTCATCAGCGCCGCTTGTTGAAGCCGTCATGGATGGTTGTGGACTCTGCGTTCAAGATAAAAATATAAACGCATTTAAATAATCGCATGAAATTAAAATGTAATAAAAACAAAGAAAAACAATGCGAAAATAACAGTATATAATGTAAGGGCAAACAAAGGATTATGTTAAACGAGCACAGCAAGCAATTTCCATATGAATCACCGGGACACCTTAATATGTATGGGCCTTGGGTGGATCGAATCGGTTATTGGTACGTTACTGTTCGGTTCGGTTCGGTACGTTTCGTTTCGGTATGGTACGGTTTGGTATGGTACGATTAGTCTATGCAAAGACAATATAAACTTCAATGTGAGTGACGTCGCACAAAACTCTCCTCACTTTGAGAGCATAAAGTACTAAAAATAGAATGCGCTCATAACTTCGGCTCAGCGAGCAAGTAAGTATGCAAAATAGCAGCAAAAGCCAGTGTAGTGCTTTGATGTAATTATCTCTTCACTACGCACACATGCAAGTATAATGTTCTCAAGCGATTCGCTGAGAGGAGAGAGAGAGCGAGAGAGCAGCAGCAACGGCAATCGGGACTTTGCTCGTGTAGTTTTTAATTAACGAAAGGGCATTCGGCCGATTGCAGTAAAATTGGAAGAATGAGACTGAGTAAAAGCTCAAAACTAAGCCAATAATAGTTGACCGAGAGGATAAAAATAGATGAGAGCGCTTCTGAGTGTTTTGCCTGGAAGCAGCTAAATTGTTGAGTATAACAGCCTTCCAATAAAAATGTTGTGTTGCATATAATACTTTGAGTGGCAAGATATAGCCATAATTAATAATAGATTTCAACAATACGCTTTGTTATTGTTGATTGCTATTGTAAATATGATTTAGTGCTTTCTTTCATTCTTTCACGTTTGATCAGGCTTTTTGTTGCTTCGCATGATCAGTTTTTGAGTGTTTTGCGCAAGGGCAACTTTGGCACATACTTTGGCATTTACCTGAGTGATTTTTGAGCAGCTGAGAGAAATTCGTTGCACTCAAACACTTGAGTTATAAGAATGAGTTGAATTTCAGTGTAAGACAATGATTTGAGCTTCTACAGTGCAATTTCACTCGATTGCCTAAATTGCTCAATTGCCTGGACGATTTCATGTTGAAGTTTATATTATCCTTGATCTATCACAGCACTGTTAAACGATAAAAGTTTTCAACTCGACACGCAAATAACTTACGGGACTTCAATCGTGAGAGTTATACGAAAGTATATTTTATAGCATAAAATCGCTTCATTTAATGGACGTAATATTTCTGTAGTACGAGTATACCGTTATTTTTTCATTTCTTTTTTAAATTTAATGCACTTTGTTTTATGACTATGACTAATAAAATGTATACACATATTCCTATAATAAATCGAAACGAAAATGAAATAAATATTATTATTAATAAAAGATAAATGTTCAATCTTATGTAGATGAGTTAAAGCCAAACCCAAATAAATTCGATATTTGTTTGAGTGTATTTCATGAGGGAGTCGAGAGAGCAAAAGCATTTTGCACGTTTTGTTATTTTTGGTTTGTAATTTTTAAATGCTGGGCAGACTTTCACAATCATCAGAGATAATACATAATACATACATATATAGATTGAGCATATATAGCTATATAGTCTAGGTTTCAGTAACTCCGTTATATATATATATCGTTTGTTTAATAAAACATTTGTACTATTCTACATAGTATAAAAAGATTCTTGACTCTTGCCATAAATAATACTCTTCTTTGGTATTTCTTAGTTTAAGTTAACAAAACGAGTGTTAAGTATTTTCTTGGTATTTTTTTATACACTTGCCAAAAGTGAAAGTCGTTTGGAAAGGGCATAAAATAATTTCAGCTAGCCGAAATTTGCTCTTTAACTGTATTATAGGGTAAATACATAATTTAAAATAGAAACTCTTGCAAACTCAATCGAGATTTCCTTGTTTAAGATTTGAGCTAATTTTTGTTATTTAGTTTTAAACCTGTTTTCATATTTTAGGTACAGCTAGGTAGTATATTTTTTGTATTGTTTTTGATTATTCTTTTTTTTTAATTTTGCTTAGCTATTGTTTTACTTAAAAAGCGAGTCAAATATATCGTTACACACACAGTCAGAGTTACAAAGACCGAATTCTAGATGAATGGTCGCAACCAAGCGACCCTGCGCCGCAAACTACAAATTCCAGATGAAACGAGACGCGGTTTTCGATATTCGATATTCGATTTCGAATTTCGAGTGAGAGCGAGAGGGCGAGAAAGAGAGAGAAAGAGAAGTGAATGTGTGTGAAAAAAATGTGGAAGAGGTCTTGGAGCACTTTTTCTTCTTCTTATTTTATACTCGTTCACGCAGTTAAGAGAGTATATAGATTTTATTTTATATTGATTTGCCTGGCTGTCTATATGAACTGGCAGGGCGACCGTAGTTAAACTAGAGACTAGAGCTATTAATGCTATATGCATTTGGAATAAATATTCAAGATGGCAATTCCTAGGCTATACAGGCGGAAAAAACTGTATCTTCTAAGCGTTTTCAGCTAGAATCCCAATTTGAGTAACTTGTTTTCATTTCTATATATTGATTAAAAATATTGTATATATACAACTATATATAATAATTTTATATATATCTTACAGGGTATCTGAGGTGCTCAGATACACAATTATAACAGATAAATAGCTGATAGTTCATCAAATCTTACCAGCTAAACGGAAACTATGAAATTCTCAATAAATTCAGCTATTTTTTATTGTTCGTGAACGAGCATGCGGCAGTCGATGACGCCCGACTGCAATGATCTATACTTGTTTTTCATTTAATACATATCATGAATATGAAGTTGGTTTTTCTTTGTTTTTACAGAATTTAGTTAACGATATTCAATTTCTTTGTCAATGCATCTCAGTTTTGAGTTTGAAAGAAATTCATTTTTAAATGTAAATAAAAAAAATATACTTAAAATATAAAATGAATTAAAAATAAAACACCCGCTATATGTATATATATGATATATTGCTAGTGCCACAAAAATACTTTTAGTATTATAGTATATATATATATAGTTCAAATTGGAGCTAATCAGATGCTTATTGGGGGAATTTGTTAGAGATAAAGTGAAACCAAGTTAGTTCGAGCTTTAATTTGTTTTAGTATTTTTGTTGGGTGTTTCGTAAGCCTTAGTGGGTGCTGTTTTTTTTTAGTTTTATATAGGTTGCAGTGCTCTTTTCTTTCAGATATTGCTTGATCGTATGCCATATAGAAATAATGATTTAAATTACAATTAAAAAATGAATTTCTTGAGCTAAACACAAAATGGGATGTCATTTACAAGTAGATGTATTGATGTATTGATGTATAGATGTATTGATGTATTGATGTATTGATGTACTGCTTGTAATGAACTCAAATGCAAATTACAAATGGACTAAATCAGAGTTGAGAAAACACAAGAATGGAAAAAATCATATGAACTACAAATTGTTATTCGGAAACTACTTCGATGTTTTCTTGAGATGTTTTTTTTCATTGATTTTTGTTTTGTTTTTACCTGTGTTGGTGGTGTTGTCAGTGCAACAGAGTGTTCAACATTTTTCAAATAATCCTTATCATCGAATATCTTCTTCTCACCGCCACCGGGCTTGTGCTTAACATTATCCAAAGATCCAACTTTGCTTTGTGCCTTAATTTCTATTTTTTGCGATTGGATCTGAAATGTAGTGTCAAAGCCACCAACAAAAACGCACACAAAATTCATTAGCAACGATTACATAATATGTTCTTAAGTCTCTCCATTATATACATTTCTCTATATATATACATTTTCGATTTGCTGGCCAATTGTGGTTCTCAGTCAACTGCAATTTGGAATTTTTTCTTTTATACATCAAATAACGTGGACAATATTTACAAGGCAAACATTTGCTATATGTATGGGTGTTCTAGAGGAGTTCTTCAAGAAAGTGAGTTTAAGTGCTTGAAATACTAGAAATACCAAAAATACTGAAATACTAAAAAATACTAAAATACCAAAATTTCTAAATAACTAAAAACATATTTGTAGACAAATAAAGTTTTTAATATTTTTATTTCATTTGTTAATACATATAATAAATTATTTTTTAGATAATTTTTAATTAATTTGCGTTACTTACATCCTTTGTATTGTTGTCCTGGTATTTTTGTGTTTTTATTTTTGTAAATTGTTTGTTAATTATTAAACATAAAAAAATATTTGTATTCAAGAAATTGTTTTAAAGTTCAATGGATTAGTTAAATTATAATTTCAGTTAAATAAATTAAATAAAATAATTCAGATTATATACAACAGATAACACTCAGAGAAAGTCTATAAAATTAAAAAAAAAATATTTATTTTTAAGTCTTTTAGCTTAGGTAAATTTCTTTAGAAAATAAACTAATTGAAAATCCTTAGGCTGCATTTCGTATTGAGACTAGATTGAAAACCAATTGTAATAAAGTTTCAATTAACTTTTCGCTGAGTGTACACATATAAACTGTTGGTCTCTAGAAATCCAAAACTCGCACCGGAACTGCCATTGGTATTTACAATGCTAGGCCAAAGAAAACTTTAGTTACAATGGAGTCAGCCATGTGTGTGGATTAGATGGTGGGTTCGATGGTGCTTCAGCTTTACGTACCCAGCCAAACCCAATTTTATTCGTCTGCATTATACAAATTGTCGTCCAGACGCGTATTGTCCATTAAACAACGATGGCTAACTATTTTGGAGCCCTCGCCATAGACAACGTTGTTAGGGTATTTCTTGTACGAATAGCTCTGTGGATTTTGGTAGAGTTTTCTTATTTGCATGAATAGTTGTGTTAGTGAGGGAGTTGAGAGCATGCCAAAAGTAACTAGATTGCATAAACATGCAGTTGAGCACTTGCTCCCCACATGCCCCGCATGCCCCACATGCCCCATGCCAGCTTAAGCAAACTTCTAAGACACCGAAAACTATAATACTTAACTGCTTGGAAGAGTACAAAAATCATAAGGATATGTCCCAATCAGAGTTAAGACTCCGACTTCGAATCGAAATGAAAGAAAAGTCGCTGCAAGTGCTTCTTGGCTTACCTTAATATCGCCGCCGCCGGGCTGATGCTTGACGTTGTCCTTGGAGCCGACCTTCGACTTGGCCTTGTCCTTGAAGTCCATCTTGAGCGACTCGATCTTCTTGTCGCCGCCGCCTGGCTTATAGGCCGCATTATCCAGCGAGCCAATCTTCGACTTGGCATTCCACTGCAACTTTGTTGTAACTATCTACAAATTGTTTTTGTTTTTGTTTGCATTTTGTGGTGGTTTGGTGGTTCGATATAGATACAGATACAGATACAGATACAGATACAAATATATATATAGATATGATATAGGGCTTAAAAGTCAAAAACTACTTCAATTGCAACATTTGCTGCTCAGTCAATGTCAATGCACTTATCAGATTCAGTTTGATATTGCATATGGGATATATATATACCATATTTATCATATATATGTGTGTGTGGTATGTATAGAGGTAGTCTACATAAGGCTATAAAATTATGCTGCTAAGTGCCTCGACTTATTCGTAATTTGCATTTCCTACGAGATGCCAAAAAGATTGCATGACAAATATACAGTTAGATATGTATATATATATATATACAGACTATATCTTTGAGTCGCAAGTCGACCGTGAAATTGAATTTCTATCATAATACTTGATGTTCATATTAATGTCTTCTCTCAAATACAGCTACAAAGAACAGCAGTAAAAGTGCGCTTATGCATAGTGAGTGGCCTGACTAGACGTATACCCTGTACCTAGCTAGGGTTTGGTTTTAGCTAACTTCATATACTACCAAAAGTAAAGCAGCTTTAGATAACTTTTACAGATGTAAGCGCTTCAGTAACAGTTAGGCAAGTTATTTATATATTTATCTATCTTAGAACTTGACTTCAAATAAAAAACTGTTAAACTAGCTATTTCTTAAAGTAATGAAACTATATACCAAATTGAAGGGCTCTGGCTTGTATGGTAGCTGAGTTTATCTCTATTGTTATCTCTCTTTATTATCTCTAGACTCACTCTTAACTGAGTAGCAGTGAGGGTAAACTTCATTTAAGTGCATTTTTTGTGCATATTATAAGAAAGTCTTCTATTGCTTATCTTATAACTGGAAAAGTATAAGTTAAATATCAAAGCAAGCTGATTTTATTTATCTGTATTCGAGACAGCTAACTGCATACCAAATTTTCAGGCACTAGCTTTGTTGGTCTCTGAGTTACAAAGAGGTAGGCAAACAGTGGATGGTTTGATACATACATAATTTTTTTAAAATTATTTAAGTTATCTATATACCAAATTTATATGCTCTAGGTTTAATAGTCTCTGAGTTATAGATTGATTGATGAGTAGTTATACTTATAGCTAGTTCCTTCAATTACAGCAATTTCTCTATATGTATCTAGCTCTAAAAGGTCTCTTAGTTAGGGAGACATATATATGAATGATGGAAAGAATTTTATACATGACTCAGAGAAAGTTAACTATATCCTAAATTTGTGTACTGTCGCAATAGTCTCTGAGCTACAGAGAGTTAGACCCGCACTCTATTTCAGCAACACGCTCGCCTTAAGGACTATGCACTTGCCATAGGTACAGGGTATATTTAATATCAGTTCAGCGCTTATCATTCCCATCTCTGAGTGGGCAACCCAGACTCAATTGTAGACCAGTTAAGACCTACCTTCTTCTCTCCGCCCTTGGGCATGTATTTGTCATTCTTGGCCTCGATGCGCGATCCGGCCTTGATGTCAATTTTCTTCGACTCAATTTTGACATTGCCGCCACCTGGCTTATAGGTGGCATTGTCCAGCGAGCCAATTTTGGAACGTACCGCCTTCAGATTGGGCGATGGCGCATGACCGACCTGTACCTTGTTCATTGGAACTGCAAAGAGATTTAAAGAAGGTTTAACTAGCGCTTGGAGCGATGGCGATGTTAGAACAAACCTTTCTTGGCCGGCTCCGGCTCAGGGGTCTTGAGCAGCAAGCGGTTCTTTGAGGCGCTGCGCGACTTGGATGCTGATTTGTTTGAGGGCGTGGCACTCGGTGGGCGCGATGTGCCCGACTTGTCCGGCTTCGAGGAGCTCGATGTGGGCGTCTTGACCGGCGAGCTGGGTGAGTTCGGTCCGTTGCGATCCTGTGTGGGCGCAGGGAGGGGGGAGAGCAAACAAGAAAAGGTACAGTGTCGGTACAGTCATGTCTCACTATGTTAGACAATGTGGCTTTACAATGAGATAGCTGGCATCTGCCAGCACAATCAAATGCATGTTGTCGGGCATTTAGTGTCGTCGCAGTTTCTCGGGCAACAATTTACGACCGCCAATAACTAGGTTTATACGGCTCTATGCCATTTATGACTCTGAGTCTCCATAGAGAGAGCGCAGCCAGCTGGGACCGTGGCCAGCACGAAAGGATTCCCATTGTTTTATCGATTGTCGCGGCCTCCGCGACCAAAACTTCGCTCTGCGCTTTGCATATGAATGAACATATTTTATTTGCGAGGTATTTATAGAGACAGTCCCCCCTCCAGCGCCAATCAGGGCAGAGGAGGAATGTTACTGAGCGAAAAACAACTTGTCGTGTTTCGACTTTATCAACTTGGCACACATAAATCGCATTACATTTGGCAATTTGTAGTACAGTCAGACATGGCTACAGCGAACTTACGACAAATGGCACTGGCAGGAAATGGCACTTGTATACTCTCTTTTATAGGGTATACTAGAGTCTATAAGGCAAATATTTGTGGACATTAGAGTCTTAGAGAAAGTGAATTAGTTTCAGCAAAGGAATTTATTTGCTTAGCCAAGTTTGGAATTGCCAAATTATGCATAAATATATATTTGTTTATCAGGGTTAGTTATTAGGGGATATATAATCAGATATGATAAATTGAATCGATGAACTAATGCTAATTAGTAATGCCATAAAGCAAAGACTGAAGGAAGGTGGGCGAGCAAAGCTGAAGCTTTGATGGATTGAAGACGGCTTATATGACAGATATATACTATATAGCAGTTACTTTACTGTAGTTCAGATACTGCAGACAATAGACTATTGCAATAGTAAACATTTCAAGCTGCCCTCGTGCATACGAATTTGTCTGGCTATAGCTGCTAGATACTATTATGCTACAGCTCCAAAATACACATGTTTAAGTCTTCACAAATTCGAGTTGCGTTCGTTTTAGTGCAGTTTGACTGTATTAAGTTTTGGTAACTCAACACTGCGCACCTGTGAAAGTTTCGGAACTGCACACACCACGCACCACACAGAAGCAGCTAGAGCTATATCAAACTATAACACTTAGATATAGCAGAAATTCTATGTAAATTAAGTTATGTCTTGGCTGATTCCGTTGCGACCAACTGACGTCCGTAAAGCTACAACTTGATCTGAACTCTGAGCGCTGTCGCCGCCAGCTCTGGAAGAGCAGCAGCTGCTGCTGGCGCTGCCTAATGGAGCGTGCCAGAGAAGAGCCAGAGGCGGCATTCGGCTGCCATTTACAGATATTTATGATTTGTGAACATAACGATATGAAGAACAAGAAAATATTAGTTTCAGTTTGACTTGAAGTTGAGGTTGAAATACCCTAGCTGATGTGGCCATAACAGATGTGGGGTATAAACAAATATATGGTATGGTATATACCAGCATACTTAGAGCCACTTTTTTATGGTTGAAATGAGAGTTATAATATATATATTATATTATATATATATATATTATACATATATATTATATATTCATATATATTAAGTAAGTTCAAGCAGAAGTTGATTTTACTTAAGCTTGCCAAATGAGTTTCATTTATTACTCAAATTCGGGCAGTTGTGGGAATGGGGTCCTCAAAAAGGGGTCTTCAAAAGCATCTATATAACAAATTTGGTAACTCTAGCTCTAAAGATGTCTCAGTTATGCTCAAATTAGCGAAGTATTATATCGATTTGCAGTGTCTTTGATGTCATTGAAATGTAAAAAGTTATCGATCAATTGAAACACGATCTGTCTGCACTATAGTTATATGTGTGCTTCAAATATCTAGCTTAAATATATTTCGTGATCAAAGTTAAGCCAGAAACATAGACAAACGATGATCGAATGAAATGAGGAGAGAGCTAGATTGACTTATTAGTTGAGTCTGATATGATATATATAAATATATATGAACATATCAAAGGCAACATTGCCAACGTGACCTATGTGCAATGGGCGCATACAAAATATGAATTTTATATCTTATTAGGTATATAGTATATAGTGCTTCAATCCAGTTGAATTTGAATTCGAATTTCAAGCAACATAATCATTGCCTTTGCCGACTCAATAGTATCTCCAAAACTCAGTTATACTAGTCTGCCTGAAGCTGATAAACTGCATGGTTAGGGTATCTTTTGTTGCAGACGCTGTGGGAGACGTGGTTGACGGTCAGCGGAATTAAATTAATTTGCAGTCAGTTAATTTCCTCTCAATTAAGAGCAGCGCACCAAAAATTTGATAAACTCTGCCAAACACTAAGAGCTAAGCTCAGGCATAACCCGTTTTCATAGATGCCCGCTCAGCATATGTGAAAGAGAGTATATGGGATTTTCTTAAGCAATGAGAAGTAAATTATGAAGCAGCTCGGAAAAAGTAGATGATGAGCTATATATGTATAGATATATGTATATTATAGATATATACTGGCTATAAAGCCTATGTGACTAGGCCTATAGAGGCTAGGGAAAATCAGGAGAAACTATAATTTCCACAAATTTCATGTCAGGCTTATGGACTGAGCCACAAAAGTTGTTCACTTTGATTTCTATAATATACACATCATTTTATGCTTCGAGCGGGTATTAGTTAGTCGTTGCTCGCTTGGCTTTCCGTGCCGGAAACTCACCTTCTCCTGAGTGGACTCATCCACGCCGCTGTCATTGTCACCCTCTGGAAAGACACAATGGAAACACAATTAATAAAATTCGAATCGAGTGTTTAGCGTTTGGTTCGCTTTGTTGCGGAAATGGCTTCATTAGGGGCACGCCCACTTGGAGTAGAGCTCTTACTGTGACCGCCCAGAGTGGTTGGTGTGACATCGAACGGTGGCTCCGTCTCCTCCAGCAGTGGCGAGCCCATGGGATCTGGCTTCATGCTGTAGCTCTTGATGGGGGTTTGGGCCTGACCCATGATGACGTCGTCATCATCTTCGTTGTGCAAGCTGCTGGCAGAAGGTGGGCGTGGCTGCTGATGCGGCTGCATCTGCTGTGGCTGCTGATGTGGCTGCTGCTGTTGCATCTGCTGTTGCTGCTGCTGCTGCTGTTGCGGCTGCTGCTGCTGATTGTAGAGCGGCGGTCGAAAGGGCGCCTGCAGCGGCTGCCCGGGCATGGGCCTGGCAAATGTGGGCGGCGGACGCGTCATATTCTGTGGCGGACGCTGCATGGGCCCCGGCCCCGACCACGGAAAGCCGCCCGGCGGCCTGGGACCCGCCTGCGTTCCAGGCGGACTCAAGGGTCCGCCCGGATTGGGTAGCCTGGCTGGCGGCATGCCTGGACGCATATTGAGCGGCGGCTGCGGCTGCGGCGGTCCCATCAACAGATTGTTCTTGCTGTCCATGGGACGCAACGGCGGCGGCAGCGGTCTGCCCGCCATGTTGGGCGGCAGCGGTGGACGTGGTCCCACGCCCGCCATGGGACGTGCGCCGGCAAAGGGTGGGCGTGGCTGTGGCGGGCCAGCAACTGGACGCATCTGCGCGGGTAAAGCAAAGTTGGAATTTGTTCGCACAAAGTCGTTGTTGCTGCTGTTGTTGCTGGTGGTGCTGTTGGTGGTGCTATTGGTGGTGCGTTCTATAGCATTGTACTCGTTCACTCTTGGCCTGCCATACTCGACCTGAGCGTAATTGGGATTGGCCACACGCGGCGCCACATAGCGTTCGCTGTCTGAGTAGCTGGGACTGACATGGTCGGGATTCGACGCCAAACGCTGCTCCACATAGGAGCTGGACGGCTGCTCAGCCTGCTCGGCTGCAGTTGTTGGCCTGTACATCTTGTGTAACCCGAGACAGCTCAGCTGAACTGAACCTAACGCCTGCGGTGTTGGTGCAGAAATGTGCAAGTGTCGTGTAATCCAATACCCAACTAACTGGCTGTTGCTGCCAGCAGGAGGAGTCGGAGTCGGAGCAGGAGCAGCAGTCACACACATCATTTGCATACGTGTGTGCTAATGGCTATGTGGGTGGGTGGCTGTCTGTCTGTCTGTCTGTCTGCCTGTCTGTGCTTTCAATATAATGTGGCGCATATCGAGTGGAGCTCTCAATTTTGATGGCTGCCTTCTTTGCATTTGTTTACAGTTTATTGTTTTGGTATTTGGTATTTGGTATTTGGGTATTTGGCGCTGCTTTGGGTTACCTTTGCGGCACATTTGTCTTGCTGCTTGCAATGTGACCCAAATCGTTCGCCTGTCGCTTATTGATTCAACAACAAAAACCCAACCAAAAAAGTTCGACAATTCTAAGACCGAGCGCCAGTCAATGCGCCATTGGCCAAATTGTTGTTTGATTTTGTTTTGCTTAGGCTTGCCAAAAGGGTTTCTTCTCGGTTCTCGGTTGCCAACACAAATTTGTTGCGACATGTCTGCCCCCGTCCTGGCTTAGTGGCATGCCACAGTCACAGTCACAGTCGCAGGCGGTTGCCCAAGGTCAGCCCGATATTGTCTACCAATATTAATCACATCTATCGAACTATCGAAGCTGATTCTTAGCTACCAAATCGCGCTGCATTCAACTCGATATGGGCGAAACTCTATAAAATATTTCAAATATTTTTAGCTAACAAAATCTATCTAAAGCTGTCTAGATTTTAAAGTGAATCAAACTGACTATTAAAATGCTTGATTCATAAGATCTGCTTGAAATTTCTCCTGCTGCTGGGCCCTAAATAGAGTTTTGAGATACTTGACTAACTAGATCTCTTGCATGAAACCTAGTATATATAGTCACTATATGCATAGTACACATTATATATGTATATATATAATATAATGTCTACAATACTTTTGCGGCCAAAAATAATTTGTTTTTTCTTACTTTAAATAAATTGAAAACTTTTAAAATTCCTCTCAAAAAATATAATTTAATTTAAATATATTTTTTTAAAATTATAACTCTTGTTTATAAGCTCAAATCATAAACAGAAATTGAAAAATATATATATATATTTTGTATACAACATTTTATATACAAATTTCTAAAGGTCTTAGTCAGGACAAAGTTTGCTCATATCAACAAAAAGTGAATAAATTCTGATTTTCTGATTATTTTTACATATTTTGTAATCTAAAATAAACAAATGATGAAATAAATATAAAATATAAATAAATAATATAATTTTATAAATATAAAATATAAATAAATAAAATAAAAAAATGAAATCCAAAGTTAAGTCTTTTGTATAGGTTACCTGCTGTTACCGATCTGCTAAGCCTATAGCTTATTTTAAGTTGTATTTTAATCCTATGAATCAGACAAAACTTGAAAGGCTTTAAGTTGCCAAGTTGGGGGCTTAGGCACACAAAATAGACAAACAATTTAATTGAATTTCTTTGCTCTAATTTCATTGATCATACAGCAGAAAGATGCTTACAAAGTGTAAAGTGCACAAGAAAAGGAATTTACTCAAGCTTAAAACTTTACTTTATTTTAAATTTTAATTTTAAAAATATAGTGAATTAATTAATGTTTCAAGAATATATTTCAAATAATTAAATAGTCAAATGGTTTCAGAAAAAATTTGATTTCTGGCGCGATCAAATAGCTTATAGAATAGAGAAGAATGTTAAATATGTGACGCAACTTATATATATTTATGCAAGTAAATAAAATAATTATTATAATGATATACCACAAGCCTAAGTAAATCTGCAGAAACTGTTCATCAAAGAAGAACTTTAACTATATGCAAGATATTCTGAAGCTTAGTAAACCACTTAAATGAAAGTCTTATAGAGTCTCTTCTTTGATATTCTCTTCAGAGAAATAGCAGCGAAATTGTATATCGGAACAGCTTTCACTCACTTATTGAATTATGTTAAGCAGCAAATGAAATTGCCAACGAAATTGTTGTCTTTGGCCATAAATGAAATGAAATAAATTTTGTTTGCTTTTTGTGGCTTTTGCCGTGATTTGACTGCAATTTTATGTTAAGTGCAAGAAGCAAAGAATATTTATTATCTATATATATATAGATTCTTAAAAACTTACCGCATCGGTTTCACTCATTTCAATGTGTTTGGTTAGAGTTTTTGGAATTTAAGCTTGGGCTGAAGCCAAAAACTTTTGCATTAAATCGATAAAATTACAGCTGAGGAACTACAAAGACTTTAAAACTATATAGTGATAATACATATATGTATACTATATATATCTATATATATATATACAAAGACTTTATATATATATATATATATTTATATACAATTAACAATGTTTATCTCTATCTGATATAGAGCTGAGCTTTGTGGCTGCTGACGCGTCGTGGCCTTCGCACGTGCAAAGTGGCAACTGAGTGTGTGGCAACAACTGTGCGAGGCGCCACGCGGTTGCAAGACAACCAAACCAACTGCCACCCCAACCACTCAAAACAAAAAAAACCGAAAGAACAAAAAAAAAACAAAAGTCAGCCGCAAATTAGTTTGCCCCCAAAAATGATTTGTTTTCTGCTGCAGAAATTCCATAGCACAAATTTTTTCATGTCAACTGCCGCACAGAGAGCGAGAGAGTGAGCGAGAGACAGAGAGAGCATGAGCTGTGGCCCACTAAATTGATTATCAACAATTGTCGGCCGGGGCTGACGGTACGTATACTCGATGCCCGCAATGACTGCGCATTTGCCTGGCATAAGTGAGGCGAGGCTAAACTTCTGCGCCCTTTCTAAAACCTTCTCTTTTCAATTAGAATTTTCTCGCTTTTTCGCCAAGTGTAAGAACTGCAACTGCAACTGCAACTGCCAATGCAAATGCAAATGCAAATGTTAACAAACTTTGCAACAAACTCAATTGATTTTTGTTGCCAAAGTTTCTCTGTTTCTTTTCGCACAATCGCCCAATGCAGTTGCGATTTTATCACTCAGCACTGCACTGCGAGAAAAGTGTGAGTAAGTTACTAAAAATTATTTATTTAAAATTAAAATTGAATCATTTTATATTATAAAATGCATAAAAGCTGAGCTTATGCTTATTGAATTATTGATAGCGTTTACAGTCCGAATATATTCGACATTTATGTAATTTCCAGGACAACAGGCGTTTAAATACATGATAAATAACTTAGGAGTAAGGTTCCCAAACAGTGAAAATGTATAGTCTATATGCAGAAGTGTAAGCCTTTAGAGAAACTGCCATATACAAAGTTTTGTAAATTAAGCAATCGATTTTGGCTCATGCGAGTACAGCTTGATATAATTGATTTATTTCAATGAAGAGAACTTACCAGATACTATAATCTAATATATCTACTAATATATCTACTAATGTATCTACTACTTTTTTTACTACAATATCTAATATATCCCCACTTTATAGATAGCTTAATAAATGAAATTTCTAAAACGTTCGATGGTTACTCTAGACTGAAGTCTGATATAAACTGGATAATCACACACTATTATCACTAAAATCTCATGCATATACTAAACCTCAGATCTTCAGAAAACTTTAGTTTAGTGTTGTAAGCTTCGTATATACAAATCTATATACAAACAGATGCTTGAATATTTTCCTGATCATCTACTTTGCTTCGCCTTAAATTGAAAAAAATACGTTGTCTCTTTTTTATTCGAATCACTAATTTTTAGCCTAGTTTCTAAAAATTATTTTATTATTATTTTATTTTAATTGTTTCTAATTTTAGTTTTATTTAATTTTAATTTTATTTATTTATATATTTATATTATATATTTTATTTTATTTTTATTTTTTTTTATTATTTAATTTGAAGAATTTTTATATTTATATTCTTATTATTAAAATTGTTAAAATTTATTTTTGAATATTTTATTTTAATTTAATTTTTTTTTTTATTAAATTTTAAGTTACCTTATATTTCAATTAAATATAATTTTATTTAAGCTTAATTATGTTGTTTTAATTTAATTTAATTTAAAAATAATTTTCGCTTAATTTAATTTTTATTTAATTAATTATTAAATATTGAAAGAAAACTCAGAAATATTTACAATTTTGTTCCTAATTTTATTTGTTAAATTTATTAAGCTACAAATTAAAGAACTTTTATTAAGAAATTTTATTTTCAAAAATATATATTAAAGACATTTATGCTCAGCTGAAGATACTTCAAATAAAATTTGCTTAATTAAACGAGAGTTGCCCCGTTCTCTCTGCTTGCCTAACAATTTCTTTAAGTGTAGCTATTCTATGGCCTAATGGGCACTTTACGACACGAACTCAATTGTTATCATTTGTTGCAGTTGCCCATAAAGAACAACAACAACAACAACAACAACGACAACGACAACAACAAGAACAGCGTTCAAGCCACATATAAACTGCAATTTTATCGATTTTCCAGCCTGGCCAAAGGGCATTAACTGAGCCACGTTAAGGCTAATGCACTTTGCACTTTGCACTTTGCACTTTGCACCTTTGCACTTTGTACTTTGCTTTACTTTAGACTTTAGACGAATGTAAATACACTTACACACACTTTAGATAGACATATATGATAAAAATATTAGTTTTATTTTCGTTTTTAATCCTTTGTTCTTTTATTTATTTTATTTAGTTTTTATTGTTTTTTGGCTAAAACGTCAACGTCGCGCTGCGTTCTGTTTGGCGCGAGTGTTGAAACTCGACTGCTTTTATTTGCTTTGAAAAACTTTCGAATTACAATACTTAGAATTTGTTTTGGTCATGCCTTTGTGTGTGAGTGCCTCAAATGTCCTTGCGCAGTTCGAGGCCCGCGCTTTGGCTACGTCTTGGCACACACGGCGTATACTCTATTCGGCTCGTCTATTCTATTGACATAGAAGTTTATTAGTGGGGCGCCTTAGTCAAATGCAAATTTAACACGCCAACAACTGTAGCCGCAGTAGCTAGCTGCGCCCCCCCCCCCTCACCCTCTCAAGCTGCCCCAGCTGCCCCGCATGTTCAATTCGTAGTTTTTATGCAAATCTCATTTGAGGCTAGATTAATTTTA